GAGAGAGAGAGAGAGAGAGAGAGAAAGAGAGACAGAGACAGAGACAGAGACAGAGACAGAGAGAGAGGGAGAGATTTCTAGTGAGAGAGAAAGCTAGCGCCAAAGGAGTGAGAAAAAAAGGGGAGGGAAGGGGGTGTTTGCTTTGCGAGAGTTGCGCGGCACTTGCAACACGATTCGGTCATTTAAGTGAAAAGAAGAGAAAAGAAAAGAAAAGAAAAAAAAAGAAAAGAAAAGAAAAGAAAAGAAAAGAAAAGAAAAGAAAAACAAAACAAAACAAATGAAAAGAAAAGAAAAGAAAAGAAAAGATCGTACTGAGAAAGGCCAGCTGACCCAGACGCCGACTGTTTCCACTGATTGTAAGCTGTCATCAAAGTTTTACGCCACGATACACACAATCTAGACATGTGATACTGAAGCGGGATACTTTGACCCTGCCTGTCTGTCAGGGTCAGGCCCAGAAGAGTGAAACACTCTCATGGAGAGAGATTTTGTTTGTTTGTTTGTTTTAGTAAGCGCTTTACGGCACCTGCACCACAGTTAGGCGGCAGAAGTCCCGAAGATTGGAGTTGTTCGTTTTAGTAAGTGTTTTACGGCACCCGCAGCAGTTAGGCCACATAAGTGCCGAAGATTAGAGGTAGTATAGACTATAACAAATACAAAAAAGAAGGAGGGAGATAAGAGCAATAGTTGTTTGATAGGAAAGGAGCATACTGTACCGAATCATCCGCCAACCATCTACTTTGACGGAGAGACGAGAGAGGACCCTATCAAAAAGAAGAAAAAAATTATTTTTTTTTTTTTAAATTCTCTACACTGGAGCCGAACTCAAATCTTTTCTGTGCACTGGCCAAATTAGTCTAATATTACATCCTCGACACATGTCAGGCATATACAGTCAGCATTGTCCAAGATAACCACTCACTGCCGGAAAGAAAAGTGCTAGTAGACAGCTGGGCGCCTTGATTTTAGTATGATAGACGTTTCACGGCACGTACAACCCTCTAGATCATGTAAGTGTCGAAGATTAGTTAAAAGTGAACAACAAACATAAAAGAGAAGGAAGGAAGCAAAGGACGACAGTGAATAGTGATAGAATAAGCAATCGATGCAAATCACACCAGAGCGCCCATTAACAGCCACAAAGAACGCCTTGTAGTGAGTCAATACAATACAAACAGACATGCGAAAGGGGGGGGGGGGGTGAAAAGTGGTGGTCGTCTGTACAGGCTACTGTCTTGAACGGGTGGCCACAATAGCACGTTCGAATGGAATTCGACGAGTCATAATACACACTATAAAACCGACACATCCCACTGACCATCCATCTAACAGCTGCCTAAGACTTGACCTTCGTTAAACGCGTGTGGACACGCGGAGGACGTTGACTTTTGCGTGACGTCATCTAACTTGCGTTATGCAAACGAATACACTGGCATTTAGGGGCACCCTTAAATTGCTCAATCGAGCTAAGAGTGTTTAACAAATTACATCGAGGTCTCCAGTCACAAACTTTGCAGTCATCGCCCTGACTAAAAAAAAAAAAAAGTGAAATAATTTCTTTTTTTTA